AGCAGGAGTAGTAGTAGCAGGAGTAGTAGTAGTAGTAATAGTAGTAGTAGTAGTAGTAGTAGTAGGAGTAGTAGTAGGAGTAGTAGTAGTAGTAGTAGTAGTAGTAGTAACTTGACCGTAATAAAGGTAACAATGGTTCGGACAGGAAGCAGTGGAGCGCAGCGAAAGTTTTATGCCCAAACTTGAGCCAGCTGCAAGACTCCGAAGCAGCAAGTCCCTCAGCCCTGCCGCGTGATTTGCACTTCGCTCGCATCTATTGACACTTTGCTTCACAACTTCACATGAAGTCTGAGCTCTGGATCGGCGGCGCAAGATTTCAAAATTTGGAGAGGGCGTAGGGTTGGGTCATTGTCCAAGTCATGAGGTTCCACAGGAGTGGACGTTCAAAATGCGCGTGCTCCCACAGGAAAGAGCATAGCGTTCGGCATCTTACTCTTTATTGAAGGCGACGCGTCTGTTTCAGTGCAAACGTGCAAGTGCGTGACACCCCGTTTTCGCCGGTTAGAAGCTCTCTGTCACTGTTGTGGCGCTTCCAAGAACCAGTTGGACCATGGACGTCATCATGGTTGGGCCATGGATGATTTCTTCTCAGAGCGGTATGTGGAGAAATATTGAATTCTTCCTTCCAATGAATGCTCTGTGAGGACTGAGGTTTGGGTCATTCTCTCAGTCATGAAAGAAGAAGGTCACGACGAGGAAGCACGCAAAACAAGAATGGCATTACCCTCCTCCCAACCCCCTCCTTCCTACCCCCTCCCGGGCCCAGGCGCTGGACCGGCGTACCTGTTTTCTTGATCATGTTTGGACTGAGAGTCTGCACACATCCACTTGTTCTCGCTTTGCGCTTCGTCCCCTCAAACCAAGGAAAAATGATAAGTTTCAACGGTACTATATCATTGATCTAAGAACATGCCCTCTCTGCGGGTGAGGCCGCCTCGGGGCTGGGCGCCGCCCGGAGGGCTTCGGACCTCCAAGGAAGGGAAAAAGGCAAATGCAAATGGCGGAGATGCTCGGTCTTTCTCCGTCCGACTCCGTCCTCTTGGGCACGCGAGACACGGGCTTGTTTCGCTCCAGCTTCCTTGGCACAAAAGCTCTGCTCCGCTGCGCCGCAGGAGGCGCCGCCGCCGCTCCCCTTCCGATGTGCATGGTAGTGACCGATCCGCTGCCCGATCCCGATCCAGAGGACTCTCCGTCTCCGATCCCGGCTCTTGGACTTGCTCCTCACCCGGAACAAGGATGGGGTTTCTCGGAATTCTCTGCTCTTGCAACTGCTCAACTCCTGCATCTCGAAATCGGGAAGCTTCAACAGGTCCACACCGTTCTTGAGGACGTGCCAATCCCTGAGGCCATGACAAGTTGCTACTGCACCTGTCGGTCGGGATCGTTGGTAACCGCGGGGTTGAAATCCAAGACCTGGGAGGTTCTGAACCAAGAAACCCCGACTGCCAGACCAAATCCTAAAACTCTGGACCCTAAAGGATCCCAGATGATGCATCCCGATCCCAGCACCGGAGCCTTGCAGAACGAGTCCGAGAAGACTGCAAGGACAGCCCTCCAATCCCTCCAATCTTCTTCCTCAGACTATGGCGAGGCAACTTTGGCCTGGGGACCGCGGAATGACTAGGGTTGCCACAGAAGCTTCGCAGCATGGAGGCCGTTGTTGCTTAGCAGTAATTTCACCGGATCCGCCTGGCACACAACATATGGACGTACGATACACGCAGTCGCGCAGCCCCACGCTATGTCAGTCCAAATTTTTTTAATTTTAAAAGCAGAAAGAGAAAGCGATGAAAACATATGACAACTGATGTGTGCAAGGCCTTGCCTTGCCATGCCTTCTCAATGGATACTTTGGGTGGTCGGAAAGCATGCCCAAGAGCTCCATCACCACAGCCTGGAGCTGGAGAAAGCAGGCTTAGGAGCTCCTGGCAGCGGACTTTTTCGCCTCGTCGAGCAGGTTGTGCGACAAAGAGATCTCCCGAACTCCGAAGCTGGCTTCCTGCGAGGGTCTCAAAAAGGGCAGAAGACTCCCAAAGAAGAATGGCTAAAAAGGCCTGAAGGAAGTCGCAGACATGCGAGGCACCAGCCGGCCCAAGGCAGTTGCCACTGAAGTTCAGGGTTGCCACCCGCAGCTCCGAGCGCTGGAGGGCCTCCAGAATCAACATGCGAACCCAGAACCCAGACACCCTCTGGCCGACCCGTCACGTCTTCCCGGGGAGTGCAAGGACGACATGTTCTGCGAGCCCTTGGAGACATGTCTCGTTAGAGAACGCTAGCTGCACTCAGGAAGCGCGTTTAAGGGGGCAAAGCTCAGCACAGCCTGTAGCAAGCGTCCAACTGCTTCGTCGCCCATGTAGTTCCATGCAAAGGAAACCTGTTCAAGGCTTCTGCCGCGGACTCTCCAAACTGCAGGCACCTGCAAGACCAAGACCGACCTCGCCATTGCCCGGCCTCTGCCTCCACCGTCCGCATCGACCGGAGGCCCTGCAACTTCTCCTCCCGCATCCTCCACTTTCGGCTGTGCTCCTGTGCCTCTGCAGCCAGCTTCTGCAGCCCTGTCCTCTGCAGTGCGGATTGGTGGAGCCATCTGCAGAAGACCTCGTCACAGATCCGTCTGAGCATGCGAAACCAAAGAGGCAAAGAAGGCGGGTCGACATCGCCTGCATGCCCTCATCGTTCAGAGGCGGGCTTAGATCCTCGAAGCGTAGCCTTCGAGTTGCCGTCTTGTCCACCAAGAAATGCCGAACGTTGCTTCTCTGTACCCCGGCCTCAATGTCCAGCCGGAGCCATCTACCTGAGCCACTTGGAGACTCGGAGACTAAAAATGCCATCTGTGCAGCTCGAAAGCCCAGCCCGCAGCCTTCTCCCGCAGCTCAAAAGCCCCGGGCCTGGGGAAGCTTTCTTCGGAGACTCGCCCGGACTCCCGTGGGCTAAGGACGGCTTGGGCCCCCGAGCGTCTGCCGGGCAAACTTCTCGAAGCGGTCACCGCTCCAGAGTGTGCCACTCGACGGCTGCGGCCTTCCGTGGGTGCACACAGTCGTGAAGCATGTCCCCTCGCATCTGCGCACCTCCACACCGCTGGTGGTCGATCGCGTCGATCACCTGCACAGGTCGCAGGACGGCCGAATGGCGACTTTCTGTTCCGCTGAGGCTCCTGTTGCTGGCATGGCGGGCTCCTGTGTTTGCGTCCGCATCGGTTGCAAACTGCGACGGCAACTTACAGTCGCGGCTCTGTCCTTGTGAAGTCGCGACCGGGAAGTTGTTGTTCCTGACTGACCCCAGGAGATCAGGAAGCCCGGACAGGGCAAAATCTGGTGAGGCACCGCCTTCGCGGCGACCCTCCGCCTTGCAGAGCGTCCCCTGCAAGGACGCTGCGGCGGAGAAGGGGATCAGAGGGGGAGAGGGGCCCCTCTCTTCTCGCAAAACGGAGCGTGGAAGGTGCGTGAAAACTCCGCAGCCCTTCGCGGCGCCTCGGAGCCCAGGACGGAGGCCTCAGAGCGGAGCCGAGGTCGCCGCGGTCGCGCCCACACACGCCCGGATCGCGCGCCTCCTGCTGCTGCTTCTCTCGCTTCTTGGACCATCCCTGCCGATCTCCCCACCTGAGCACGGCTGCTAACTGCTCTTCCATGTCTTCTCGAATCTTGGAGTCTCCCTCTGCCGGGGAGCTGCGTCTGCCCTTTCCGCTCAGTGGCCACAACGTGGGATAGCCTCGCCACTTTATGGGAAGAAACCCTAACATACCCCACCACCCCCCCCGCTTCCGCCAAGCTTCTGATTCAGATTGTACAGCAGGCCCTGCCGATCTCGCTCAAACTCGGCCTTCAGCCATCACATGCCAACATGCTTCAGCATTAACCGGGAGGCAGATGGTGTGCCTGCATTTTGGCTGTCTCGTCTTCCTGCCGATTCAGTCTTTCTTGAAGGTACCGAAGCTCTTGGTCCTGCAAGCTGTCCCGCGACAGTTTTGCATCACATTGCAGGGCAAACATTTCGCCTTGGACTTCAGCCGCTGTTCATAGCGCGCTTGAAGTTGTGCAGCACGGATACGTTCTGCGTAGTCCTGCCACGCCCGGGCAGGACAGAGGCCATGTAAAAGTGGATCCTAGCAGTGAGGATTAGAAGGAGAGGGGAAACGGCCAGGATGAGGAGACAGAGTGAGGTAAGAACCACGGGCGACATCACGCATTTCGCACTCATCTGCTGCACCTCCAAAGCTGCATATGTTCACGGTCAGCGGCGTCACGGAGGATGCCCCGCAATCAGCAGGGATCCCCGGACCAGGCCCCAGCTCCGCGGGAAGCCCCCCCCCCTTCCTCCCCTCCCTACCAGGGTGGGATCAGCAAGGTCACTTCCTGTGAATGCCTCGCCGGTGTATTCATGAAATGTCGGAGCATTAATGGTGTCTCGGTCTGCGGGACAAGAAGAGCTCGAGACCTCAGTTCTGCTTGGGAATGGTAGCGCTTGAGTGCTCGAATGGCGCTTGTACAAAGGCCGGATTCGGGCACCAGGGTCTTTGCGCACTGGCCATACGGTTCGTGCACCGACACAGCACGAACACGATTCGCACACCAGGGAATCGCCCACTGCTTGGACCTTCTGGCAGGGTCGAGAAAAATAGCTCGAAACGTGGGCATCTTAAAATTTTTAAATGCAATCGTAACTCCGGAACAGAACAACACTGAAGCGGAAACCAGGAGGTTTAAGGGGATGCCAGCTATTTCGAGAAGTGATGGTTTTAGAACAACCTACTATTGAGATGTCGAACATCCAAGCAACCCAAACCTTGCGACCCCAAAGTTAAACCCTAAAATGTTCAAAGTCCTATCTCTAAAACCCTAAACACTCGGCTCTCCTTGCACCGAAACCCCTTAGCTCTAAATTCCGCAACCCTGAATCCAACACTCTGAATGCTTGGGTGCTTGAATCGCGCATGCGCAATTCGGCTTGTGCTTAAATCCACAGTGCGCGAACAAAGTGCCGTGCTGGACTGGCTGTCGCTTGAATCGCATGTGCTGGACTCGCTGCGGCAGTGAATCGCAGTCGCAGTGCTCGAGTCGGGGACGGGATCGCCCACTCTCTTCTGAGCAAGACGAAAACCCAGCGACGTGACACGAAGAGCCCAAAAACAATGTAAATTCTCCCCCCCTGGGGAAAACAGGCACCGAACCGGTGCAAAGCAAGAGGCAAGGTGCGAGCAGCTAACAGGAGCCTCTTCCTGGCTCGGCTGGCTCGGAGCGCTTCCAAGCGGATCCCTTGGAGACGAGAATGTGTGTGTTTCACAACACGTTTTGGATGCGGGCATTTCAATTCAACTAATACGCCTTCTGAGTCAAGCACATCATCTCCTGGCGGTCGGAGTACGGCTGAGGTCCGCCGAACTGTCATACGAAGCGTCACCAAGAACTGTAGATGCACGCATCTTCCGTGTTTGCCAGCCTCTACCTGCACGGGGCAAGGACCTGGCCCGGGAAGCGCTTTAGTGACTTGCGAAGATGACGCTTGAGATATGTCTATGGCTGCTCAGGGCCAGCCTGGAGCCATCATGCCGGACCTCTGCAAGGAGTCCAAGACAAGGAACCTCTGGACTCTGAAGAGGCCGGTGCATGGCTCCGCCGCCTTGCGCCTGGAGTATGATACGTCTACAACTTTGACGCCAATCATGAAGTGCCTGAAGTGACAGCTGACAGCTCAAAGGCACCTGGCAAGGGCCCACGGGGCCCACGGCCTGCCAGGCACCATGGCCTGCACAATACGGCAAAAACCCTCTCTTTTCAGCGAAAGGAGGCCGTTGTTTTGTTAAGAGCCGGACCTCCAAAGTCTGAAAGGCAACCCACGAAGCCCATGGCCACCGGGCCACCCGGAGCGGCACACATTGGGGAATGCCGCACATCTCCTTGATTCTAGAGTCTTGCAACAAAAACTAGGGTTTGGGGTTTAGGGTTTAGGGGTCTCGGGGAAGAAGAAGGTAGCAGGAATTCGGTCTTATGGGATGAAACTCTGCAGGCGCCAAGGAGCCCATGGCAAGTTGACCCTCTGGCGAGCTTCCCGAGTGAGGCGCCACCCACGCGCCGACGAGAGGACCCGAGGTTACCCCATGAAGGACACCTGTCGCGGAACACGACGAACTAGACGAGACGTACATGAGAACGACAGGGCCTGGAACAAATTCTGGAGCCGATGTCTTCCAATCCCACTGATCGAGGGACATCATCGGAGCAGAGAGTGAAAGCAAGCAACAAAACAGAGAAGCTGTGCAGTTGCAGTGTGGACTGTGTGCGATTAGTTCTGGTTTGCCTTTGGACTGCATGCAATCTCAAATCTCGGCAGAGACTGGCTCGGGAACTACACACTTTTGCAGAAAACAGGAAAGACCTTGACATGCACACGCATGCTGATGCTCGTTATCATGTCGGCGCGTGCGTCCTGCGAGCGAAAGGTGGACCATGTGCCACGCAGACAGTCGGCATCAGCGCCTGACAGAAGCTGCTTCTGTAACTTCTCTGCAGCAACCATCAAGACTTTTTGCATCGCGCATAGCACATTCCAGCAGCCAACGTGAATTGCGGGGCAGCGACGATGACATAAAGCAAGATACAAACACTGAAACTGTTCAAGTAAACCTCAACGAGTGGCTGCTAATTGTCCTTCTCGTGAAGGCAGCCACTGGCCCTGTTGAGGGCCAGGCTTGCACAAAGACTGCCTGTAGCTTCTAAAGCCTGTTATGGCAATGCTACCAGAGGCAAGCGGCTGGCACGAAGAAAAAAACAAGTTGGAGCGAAATCGGAACATCCGCTTCTTTGGCAGAGCCATCTCAGCTCCGTCTCAAGGGCCCGATAGACTGCAAAGAACCACCTTATCGTGGCTTCTCGCGCAGACTCCAAGCGCCAGGAGCTATGCCTTCATACGTAGATCTTCGGCTCAACTGGGAGTGCTAGTGCTCACACTGGCCGTTTGGAACCTCAGAGCGACTCTCTTCGGCATCCTTTTTCAGAAGACTTGATGCTCCGCTCTGCTCCGCTATGAGAAGCAGGCTGCTGCGGAAAGCGTCTGCTCAAGGAAGCCACAACCGCCTCTGTCTGCAGACGACTGCATGGTACTGCAAAGCTTCTGCATGCAAAGGCCTTGTACCGCTTTCGAACCGTGTGCGAAGGCACCGATCGATAAATGGCGTGGGCCAAAAAGAAGTCGCTGCCGTTCTGACGCGGGAACATCGAACGCAGACTCCCCGAATCTTCCCCCAAAGCCTTGTAGGCACTCAGATGCTCCTGCAGGAACAAGGCCTCGCTTTTTTACCGCAAAGTGTCTGACACACTGTCCGGCTTTTTCGCTGTGGTTAAAAACCCACACCCAGCTGAAGTGAGCGCCTCTCGCTCGGAAATCGTCGTGCTGTGATCCACCCTGACCTCGGCTTCCCCGCGACTGCGAAGATCGGCCAAAAGAGATTCCGCTGTCTGAATCGGAAGGCGACGAACTGCAAAAGGGGTCAGACCTATCCAGAATGCTTGAACACATGGGGTCGTTTAGATTTGCAGAGGCAGCCTTTCTTGAGAGCCTCTTCTTGGAACCGATACGAACCACGACCGACCCCGAGTGGTTTATGGTCGTTCTGAGGTTGCAACTGCCCAAGGGATACGTGAGCTGTTTACCTGAGCAAGGTGTACCGAATAAATTTCTACTCCGTGCATTCTGTGACCCCCGCATTGCAGCGAGTCTCTGCTCTACGTTCCATCACCTTAAGGCGCGCCGCAGACTTGATGGCCTTCAGGTCCACTGACTTGGGCCTCAGAAACACCAAAAGCCAGCATTTCGCCCTAAGCCTCCCGAGCCTAGCAAGCCTGGGGCACCCGCGGATCATCTCGCAAAGCTCGCAGCTCATAAGTGGCCGGGTTCGAGTGGTGCTGCAACGATTGCTGCAGCAAACCAGCTGCAAAAAATTTCAGAAAGTGGTGCCTGGAGCTGCACGAAACCGAACGCCCCGAGGCTGCTACCTCTGCGCGGCAACGGTAGCGTCAGTGCTAAAGTCAATGCTTGTGTTCTCATCTTTTGGAAAGCTGCATCGGAGGCCAACGAAGCGGTAGTCCATGCGATAGTCCTGTCGCTTCAATGATCTGTGCAGTAACACGGGACAGGAGACTTCATCGACACCTCGATATTGGAGATGATGAGGTCAGTAACGTCAGAGAAGTAATGCTTCAGACGCTTCAGCACCTGGCAAGTGAAGGACTGGGCCTCGTGATCCTAATTTCTCGCTACCGGGGGGGTGTTTTCGGGTCCTTGACGCCGAAGTGCCGTTTGCAGCCCCTACATTACAATACTTGTGTGTATAAACAAAGACAAAGCGAACAAGAGCGAGAGCGAAATATGGTGGGTTCGAACCGCTGCCGCGAGCCGAGCCTCGTCCAAGGGATCCGGGATGAGCGTGGCCTGCGGCTTCGGAGCTTCGTCCTCACAAGAAGAGCATCAACAGCACCTGGGTGTGGGTGTGGGTGTTGGGTGAAAATTGTGGGTGGGTGGGTGGGTGGGTGGGTGGGTG